TTTCAATGTATGGTAGGGGATTAGTTGACGAAATATTTATTTCGACTAGGTCTGATTTGTGCTTGACGCTAGATGTTGAAAATTTTTATTTTCAAAATTATCTGTATCGTACTCTACAGGGTTAATCAAATTTTCAAATTCATTTTCAGATTCGTTTGTATAATATTAATTTTCAAATTCCTCACCATGGTTATCATTAGAATAATTATTTGAATATAATTCTTCAGCTACAAAATTCGGTTTTTGACCATAATTTTGAAAGTATCCGTTATTGTTATATTTATTATTGGGCCTATTGTTTGGAACAAAAGATCTCCTAGTATTAAATGAGGGATTTCTAGAGGTCGTAGAATTTGGCTCCGGTTTTGGCAATCGATTTTGTGGTATTTGATTAGGTTTGAATACATTACGTGGAGATCCAAATACTTAAGCGTTAGTTGGGTAGTTTCGAGGTGGCTGAGGCTGTGGTTGTATATTAATTGGCTGACTAGGAAAGACCGGTTTTTGATAGTTAGGTTGATAGTAATTTTGATTGAATGTATTTAAATTTGGATATTGTGAGTTATAACGTGGTTGAAAATGATTATTTGGCCTAGTTGCAATATTTTGTGATTTAAATTGATTAAGTCTAGGAAAATTATTTCTTTCTCTCTGTTCATTAGAATTACCGTAAAAGATTTCAAAATTTTCATAATCTTTAACATAAACCATAGAATCCTCAAGAGATGCCGGTTTCTTGAGATGCATGTTGGACTCCAGTTGAGCCTGCGATAAGTGTATTGAGTGCCGTCTTTTCACAATGATTAATTTGACATAATTTGTCATCTATTGTTAAAGTAACGTCGTTACTGATTCGTTGAACGATGCTACTTCTTAATAACTGGAGACGAGTACCAAAATCTAACAAACTTTCATTTTTAAATGATCTTGTTCTAGTAAGCTGTTGTAAAAGACAATCTAAATCTCTCTTATCAGTAAACTCTTGTTTTAAAGCAATTTTTAAAGATTCCCAATTATTTAATTCCATTCGATTTCCAACCAAAGCCTCCGCTTTCCCTTTTAGTTTTTCTTGTATGCTCTCGAAAATATGATTGTTTAACTCTTCATCATTATACATGGAATAAGTTTCTATTAGCTTATCGCAACGCGAAATAAATTTATTCAAAGTATTGTTATCACTGTCATAAGGTTTAATGTTATCTACTTTTAATTTAAAAAGATCCCAATTAACAGAGCGTTTAGCTTGTGGAACTAAAGGAGGTGACATTTTAAAATGATCAATTAAATCTGACACAAAAAATTCTTTACCTTCGGAAACGTTACTTAAATTATTATCGTTTTCGATACTAAGATTATTAAAATTATTTAACAATTCTTCTAATTCATTCATAAAGTTATTGTAATATGCTTAGATATATTTTTGATACATGAAAAATCAATAAACTTATATTCTAAACAACTATCTCTCCTGAAATCTTAATCAGAGGGTAAGGAAAGGCAAAAAGGAACTTGGCACTTACAGTATTCGCCTGGAGTACGTTGATCCTCTTCCGACTCTAATTTCACTTCTTTAAGCTTTTGCGTCCTCGATGATCCACTGAAGGGTTGTCCACTGAAGGGGTAGATTCTTTGGATTCGTACTTCGATGTTGAAACACCCAAGTTACGGAAAGTTTTTTCTCGACACGAAAACTGCGAAAATGTTTTTCCACGACCCGCACGAACCCTACTGACTGCGCCAGAAACGATTTGAGGATTCGAAAAAGCGTTTTTAAAAAGATATTTTATTTTTATTAAGAACAATATTTTGGTTGCTACTACAACGAAGGTTTAATTAAGAGTGATTTACATTTGTTAACAATAGAAAACAAGCAATTACAAAAGTCCTGATTAAGCGTTATATTATATATCCAGCAGCAGCTGGCTCGGCACTATTCTCGGATGTGTATCATGTAACTGCCAACATCTCGAATAATTCGAATCGATCATCCTTACAGGTAAGTCGAAAGTAAAAAAAAATTAGCAAATCGTGGTATTTGGGTTCGGAAATGAATTTTGAGAAGGCATACGTTAGGTGTTTCAGAAACACTTTTATACGAGAATTAGCCACAGAAGATATTGAAGGATACAGGTCTCAGTATTGTCAAAGAAAAAATTTAAAGAACACGTTTCTAAGGTTCAGTTAAAAATTGCTAAATAATGATACAACAATGCGTAAAAGACTTCCAGCAGCTATAAAATTACAATTGATATTATGATATTTAGAAACAGGAGATACATTTACTACTTTAGTTTCTATTTATGTATCGAGTACCAAAAAATACTATTCCAAATTTCGAATTACACATCAAAAACGTATGATGACTGATACTTGAACAATAATAATAGTGACATATTTAGCTACCCCAATTATGCATACAAGCCTCGAAGAGGATTAGAAAGTACCTACATCATTGTAGAATGAAAGAAAATATACAGTTGACCCCTGGGGATAACATATGGCAAATTCGAGTTTTCTTAACAGAAATATGGGCACCAGCCATATTTTTACGCAAGCCGTGTTCACAAATGATTGACTAATAGAACTTGGTTTCGAAAAACCAAAGGCAACTGGCTAATGGATTGAAATAGGGGCATAATCAAGGAAAAAGGAAAAATCGAGATTATAACCGTTTTTTTCTACACAAACCCATCGAAAGTATTATCCATTAGCTAGGATTGCCAGACGTTCTGCTTTAGGCGTCCCGGTTCTGACCTAAATGGCATGCTTTTTAACCGACTTCAAAAAAGGAGGAGGATCTCAATTCGTCGGTATATTTTTTTATGTATGATCAGCGATCACTTTTTTAACACGGTGTCTGATTTCAATGATTCTTATTTTATTAGAAAGGGGATACTTCAGGGGTGGTCCCATATAAATTTGGTCAAAATTTAATAATTGGGTCCATGAGAAAATCCTCAAACTCTTCATTTTTTTATGTATGTTTAGCAATAATTATTTAATACCTTGTCCGATTTCTAAGATTCTTTTTTTGTAACGTGAATATCTGGTTATTTTATCTACTTTGATATATGTGTTTGAGCTCAATTTATAGGACGTGGGTTAGGTTTTTAAATAACTCGAATAACTTTGAAAAAGAAGTTGGGCACCACTATATTTAAAGCTTATACACGACTTAACTCTAGATTAGTGATAAAAATATATAAAATCACTAACCACTAACAAATTATACTTAAAAAATGCTTTATATAAGGTAGTTATCAAATTCTAATAAGTTTGAACATAATTCAAATTTAAAACAATTTATTGATTAGATCAATAGCACTTTGCTAAATAATGTAATATACGGTGTTTTAAGGTAAAAATCAGGTATTTCTTCCTTCGTCTCTAACTACAGCGGTACATCAATCTTAGGCAACTTCTACCAAGTGATTTGGGGTTCCTGTTCATAACTCTCAATCGTGACTGTGTATGATCTTCAAGGTAAAAGATTCTTATTTGTAATCGAACTCGAACGATCTTGTCTGAAATAACGAAATAACGGCTCCAACTGTTACACCTCACTACCTCCGGGTAAAAAAAAATATAAATTTTTAATTTGAACTTTTTTTTACTACTTCCATATTCTCCTTATATTGCAACTAGCTAGGATGATACAAGAGTGTTGCCCGCCGATATCTACAGTAATCAAAGGTCACTGCAAGAAAAGGTCCTTCACAAATCATTCCACTCCCAACACCACTGCTAAACCAGTTACCGTAGAAGAAAATTAAAAATTGAAAAAAAAACAATAAACAATGATTATACACCATCATACAATGAATTTACAAATGACGCCACTGGTCAGATAATTGGGAGAATCGTACAGCCGTATCGACAATAAAAAACCCTCCTTATGCGTTTTTCTTGACCTTGCCAAGGCTTTTGATACTGTTGACCATCCAGAACTATTCGAAGCCTTGGAGAGGGTCTACTTACCCAATTTTTTTTTTGGAAAAATCTATAGTTTTGCTGATGATACAGTAATTTTATATTCATAAGACACGTGGAAAAATCTACAACTTGAGTTAGAAGTGTAATAAACTGGTTTGATCATCATCTTTTGACTAGCAATTATAAAAAAAAACATTCTTTGTTCCATTTGTAAGTTACGAAAATAATCTACCAACCTACACCTCGATAAATATCCCTACACCTGAAAAAAATATAGAGGTTAAATATTCAAACAACTTAAAATATCTAGGCATAATAGTCGATTCACATTTGAGCTGGGATTACCACATTCAACAAGTTACAAAAACCCTTAGAATAATATTGTACAAATTTAGATACTCAAGCAAATTACTAGGAGTTAGCTAAAAACACTGTATCATGCATTAGTGGAATCACGCCTTCAATATTGTATACTAAGCTGGGGTGCATGCTTATACACTCATTTACGTAGATTAGATATTCTGCAAAAAAAGATTTTTAAAAATAATACTAAATAAACCAAATACCTCTTTATTCTATCTCAATGATTACAACACACAAAAACTAAAAATCAGTGTAGCCAACACACATTCCAATTATCATGGCGGCAACATGATGGGACTTGTTTTATTGTATTGACAGCATACCCTTAGCGGTATCTAGATACTTTCTAAGTGCTTTGATATGGTGTGATACTTGTCGATCCGCGCCACTCAAGCCAATATGTTTTTCGAGCTAGTGTCGCAGTCATACTTTCGATGGGCTTGAGTGGAAAAATCGGTTAAGATCTCGATTTTTCCTTACAAGATTACACCCCTATTTCAACCCTTTGGACACTTATAACACTCAAGCCTTTTATGAAGTCAAGTTCTATTAATTAATCAATTAGCAAAAACGGCTTGCGTGAAAATATGGGCAACAGACATCTTTTATTTCTGTTAAGGCAAATTGAATTTTCCAAAATCCCGCATCTAAATATGTCACTAACTGACGGTATATAAACAAATGAAGTTAAATTAAATTCTTACTGATTTGGTATTTACGAATGTAAGTGTAGTTTTATATGTTTCATAAGCTTCAAAATTCTGAAAAACTATTATGTCCGGCGTTTTCATGAAAGTATTAACTTCTGTTAGAATTCTCCTTTTTCTCGTGGTTCTAGTTAGTTGTTCAAATCGTTTTTGCATCGGCATTTGAAGTTCACTTAATAATCTTGATGGTGTCACCTAGAAAATATATGTCTTTTAAATTAACTTTATTGTAAAGTCAGGATTCTGCGCAGTTTACCACACAGAATCCTGATGATCATTGTTGGAGAACCCATTAACTTTAGAATGTATAATTTTTAATTGAATGGCTAGAAAGGAAAGTATAGGTATCGTGATTTGTTAGGACATCGAGTTTTCAATAGATCTTCACCTTTTGAGGTCCCCTGAGTCCGTTTTGACCAGGTAGATGTGGGTAAGTGTAAGTAGATGGCTGCACGATACACTTACATCAGTATGCCACTACCTTGACCAAATTTCCCCCACTATCTGCGCGTGATATAGCGTGTTAACAGCATTTAATTTCCGTTTTAATAAGGATTATTCATCGGTCTTGTTATTGCCGAATATAGCCAGTGAACCATTTTCGGTGTTAATCCCTATGTTTTCCCAAATACCCGTCTCCCGACAATGAGGGACATTTTACATTTAATGGTCACTTCTTGTTAGTGTTCTTTGCTATCTAGGATTAGACCCAGATATTTTACCTGGTTTGGAATTTCTAAGACCTCTAATTTTATGAGTTGTGTCTTTGCAAGGTTTACCCAGACCTTTTTTCTAACGCACACAACATTTATGTCAGCTTTAGAACTCTTTGCATAAGTTCGAAGACTTTGGTTTGGTTAGTTATTGGGCTGTCCTGGCTTATGTAAAAAAAAACACTTTGCTTTGTTTCCGGGTATTTGGCACTGTTTATATTGTTTATGCGCCAAACTTGCCCTGAAGAGTCTACAAGTATGCGGGGCCAGTGTTTCTATTGCCTGTTGCAGAAGCACAGGTAGTATCCCATCCCCTGTTTTGAGTTTTTAAAGTCTACATAGGCTCTATAGAATCTTTTGTTAGAATGCAGTCTGCATTATTCTTCAGTTGTATTTTCAATTTCCTGACAAAATGTTCTTCATGAGTTCTCTTAGATTTCCTAAGAGTGTTGTATTCTGTTTAGTGTTTCGGTGTATTCCTCACACTCATTAATCTTTTTTATTAAAAAGTTACACGTTTTCCTTACTCTTTGAGTTCGGTGTTCCACCAGTTCACATCACTGAAAGTTTTCCTGTGCTTTAGCGAATAGTTATTGTGATATAATTTTATTATGATTGCATCCCGCATTTGTTCTGCAACTTCATCTAGATTATTTTCAGATTTAAGAGTTGTTTTAAAGATTCTAACACTGCGTCCAGCGTATCCAAACCAATCGGTTTTTTGTGGATCTCGATACACATTTCCTGGTTTTATCGACGTTGTCGATTTCCATAAGAATATGCCGATGGTCTGAGGGCGAGCTCTCTACAGTCTTAGAGAAGAAATGAGTGCCGTAGTTTAATTGGCAGAACGTAGTACAGGTACAAGAGGTAGACATTTTATTTATACCTCATCCTTCAATGCTCATTTGTAGTTAAAATGAAAATTTTAATACATCTGATCGGCCTAATAAAAGTTTTCGTTTAGATTTAATCATAGTTTTTACTATAATAAACCTTAGTTTTAACAGATAAGTCAGACTTTATTTATTCATTTGGAATTTTGTATTAGTATATATTATAATTTTACAGTTATATAAGAATGGCAATGGAAAATATTGCAAGCACAAGTACGCGTAAACAACCTCGTGGACATAGGGATCCACAAAGCACGTATCTTCTAGAGACCCCACGCCAATGTTAAACTTTTAAACCAAATTAGCGCCACCTTGAGTTTGGAGCAGGAACTAAAATGACAATTGACAGATGGCGGTAAATTCAAATTGTAATTTTTAAGAGTAGGTAGTAGTTTTAAATTAAATTTTAAATGATTTCCACATAAATAATAATGCATATATTTAACGAATACTTACTTGGAGCAAATCTTTAAAATACCTATCAATAATTTGAATGTGAAATAGAGACTAGGATATTACATTTTATTAACACTTAAGTAATATATTTTATAAATGTCTTTAACCGATGACAAATGTAATATAGGTATTGTATTAAAAGGTGAATCCTTTTAACTATTCATTCAATGATAAATAGGTATTTTCCTTTCAGATACAGATGGTGGTATTACCACAGCTTATACAATACAGCTCCACAACTCCGTGTCGGAATGGTGCTATCTCTGTTAGATTAAAGGGAAAAGTCGGGCCCGGATTAAGCAATTTTTTTATTATTGAAAAAATTGAAAACCTTGACGTAATAAGGTTGGTTACATGCCATGTTAAGTAAGTTTTGGGAAATTAAATTTTTAATTTGTTTTAAATCTGTCAAATATAATTAAAAAAATTATTTAAATATAAATATTACGAAAAATAGCACATCTTTCGGATTAGAGGTAAAATAATTTGTATGTGGCTAGTAAAATCCTCGTTAACAAATGTTTTGAGCTAAAACAGTCACTTCACGACAAATTGTGACTTGGATCCTTTTTACACCAAGGGCTTCAATTGTTAAAGAAATGTGTCACGCTCGTGGATGCAAATCAAGTGGTACCCCGTGTCTCTGGCAAGTGTTACTCTTCGCGCAAAGGGTTTATACCTAGATAAACGAATGCTTCGACTGAGGTCTGAGAACTCTATGGTATTTTGGAATTATAAAGAATTTGTGCTTTTATTTTAACAATAGTGGTTATATTTAGATGTATTCTTATTAATTGAAATACAGATTTGTAGAAGTAATACTTTAACAGTTTTTATTAATATAATATATTCAATTTTTATCTGACCATACCGAAGTAGGGAATTTTGAAACTTTATAGTAATGTGAAATTTGAATTACAATATTACACGATATTACATAATTAGTACTTATTTTAGGTAGGTACTAAATTTGTACTTGGAGAAAGTAATATCGATTTTTACAAGAAAACTTGAAAAGTAAATTAATTTAGTTCTTATTTCTGATGTAAAACTTAAACCAAGAAAACAAATAAATTGTAGTTTGTTCAACAAGGGTGGATATGATAGCCATATCCCAGTATATATACCAATCAGTATTGGCACTCTGAGGCGGCACGTTTGATCTTTAAAAGTAGAAATTTTAGTTGACACTTGACGTTTTCGGGATATGAAAAGTTTTCTTTACACGGACTTGGTATACCTGGTTAGTTGAATTTTTGTACTGCTGCTTTTCAAATTCGTGTGTATGAGGGAGATGTGAGATACCTTTATAGACAACGGTTGAACAACTTAATTACTTTGAAGAAGAAAATAGATTAGATATCAGGGCAGTCTTCGCAAATGTAAGAAGGACAGAACCGTTTTAAATTTTTTTATATATGTGAAATATTACTTTTTGGTGAAAAGTTTAATTACTTTTAGTTCAAAATATAACGTTAGTTTGTCAAGGGAAATATATAACACACAAGGTTAGAGTAACAAAATAGAGGTATTGCTTTATTTCTTAACTCTAATCTAAAACTTTTCTAGTATATTGTAAAAATTTATTCTATACGTTATTTAGGTACTGTAAAATCTATAGGAAAGTATGTAGTTTTAAATTTAAAAATTTGTAACGCAGACATATTTAGTGTAGTTTTTTTACAAATATATACTCAGTTCAGTGACTTGTTTTTGTGAATGAGTTCAAGTATGGCAGACTAAAATCGTTATTTTTTATTATGAATTAATTTGAATTTATTTTAAAATGGGAACTATATGTATATGGTTTTCGCAGTTTTTACACTTGTGATAAAAATATCAAAGTTATGTATATTGGCCATTTACTACACACAGCAAATTCATAGACACAATACATATTACTATTTGACTTTCTTGTAAAACCACTAATTTAAAATTGACTTTAAACTAAGTGACTACACACAGAATTGTTTGAAAGCAGCCATAAGGTATAATTTATTTATTGGATACTATAAAAAAATTAATAGTAGTTACATGTAGAGTTAAGTAACAAGAAATTTAAGACCAAAAACAAAACAAACCTTTATATCTAGTGAACTTAATTTAGTACAGTCCTCAACTTTCTTAGGCTAACATTAAAGATATCTATTTGGATCTCGCTAAGAAACTCATTGGTAACAGCCATCATCTTGTTAAAAAGAGATATACTACTTGGATCTAAATCAAATAATTTATTGTTACAACTTAAAATATGCATACGTTTGTAAGTGTTAAATAGACGGATAAAAAGTGTTGATTTTTATTTACAACTATAATAAGAACCCATTAAAAAGATTAAGAGCAATAGAACATTTCAACAAATTTCTATAGGTACACATATTTTTGATACCTGATAATCAATAAATAATATATTTTTTGGAGTAGCAACAGGTTTATTAATACACAACTATTATTTTGTTACAAATACTTATAATATTTATAATTAACATAATAGTTGATATAAGTCCTTTAAAAATAATATATTTTGATTTAATTGTTGAATTTATACATGAGCAATTTTCCTTGTAGCGTTGTTTACATTTTGCAGAGAAATATTGTATTCTGCTTTTAGCTGATAAATCATGTACATGTAAATGGGTTGAATGTAGACAATGTTAATGTTTTTGCTACTACTGCTGGCTAGAAATGGACACCAACAGAAAAAAAGGAAGCACAAAGCACTAGATGTTTTTATCACTTATACACGTACAATTTACAACCATTCAAGTAACTAGCATGTTGGAAATACTTCACGAAAACATATTAAACATAAATCAGTCGAAGGCAATGTATTTTCTTTTTATAACACACCTTTTTAGCTTGATTACTTTTAGTACTCTATTTATTCCAATGTCCTCAAATAAAACGAGCAATAATAAGGATAAAACACACACTGAAGTGTATTTGGGGTATTTTTGATCTAAATCCACTATCAAAATAACAAATTTTCCGTTTTTAAGCTGTGAATGTATTACAAAAACTACTGAAAACTACTTCGATAAAATGTAAACAAAAGTTTATATTTGTGTACGAAATATGGGTTGCCTGCGCATGGTAGCGAGTTTTTAACCGGATTTATGACAAGTGATAG